TTATACAACTGGCATTTCCACATCCCTGATATCATTTTGGAGTCCCCGGATGGCACAAACAGTTAAGTGCTTGACTACTAAGTGTGGCAGTTCAAGTCCACCTAGAGGAGCCTCGGAACAATTTGTGTAGAAATTGTTGAATAGGAACTTAATCTTCTGTGTGCCTGGGAGGCCCCTTGGCCAGATGCTTGTCCCACCAAGGATGGGAAGAACTTGACTCAAGGCTACTTTGATGCATGTGTATGTGTGTGTTCCTCCCTCCTTTCATCAAGAACACAATAAGATATTATTTTAAAAAAAGAAATGTAGCATGATGATAACGTGCACCAAGCAAAGGCGTCAATGGACACTAGCTTGCCACAGAGCAAGAGGGATCATGGCTTAGGAGAGGAAGGAAGTGCCACTTACTTTTGTCACACCGAGGTCCGTATTTATTGGGATCAGAGCAGAACTGACACTGAGAGCCTTGGAAGCCATCCTCACAAATGCACGTCCCATTGCCACCGAGGCCATCTGCACACTGGGAGCAAACGCAGGCCCATGGGCCATTAGGACAACACACACAGGTATGGGAGTCCCCTTGTGCTTTGGTTTCATGACCTAACTTCTTTGAACTCAGAGTCAATTGCACTTGAAATGACTCTTTGGGACTCCTTGTACAAAGTGGAGTAATGTTGGCATCAGGTCCCTGGGTGGTACAAACAGTTAACATGTTTGGCTGCTAACCCAAAGTCTGGAGGTTCAAGTCCACCCAGAGGCACCTCAGAAGAAAAGTCTGCTGATCTACTTTCAAAAAATCAGCCTCTGAAAACCCTGTGGAACACAGTTCTACTCTGAAAAACATAGAGTTGCCATGAGTCGGTATTGACTCAATGGCAACTGGTTTTGGATGTGAAAACAGTGATGAGTTTGGGGATACCAAGCTGGGACTTGGAACTTTAAGGGAAGTCACTAGGGAATATCCAAGGAGGATTGTAATGGTGAACCAAGAACTTCTAAACAGAGCTTAAGGGGTATCAGTGCTCAGCCATGAGCCGTCAGGAGTGCCTAGTCTTTCTCTCATTTGCCAGATTCTCACTTGCCCAGCTCTGTGACTTCAAACTACAGTGTTTTCTCCCTTCAGTGGTACAGATTTGGAGCCCCCACCTCCCCAGCCCCAGTAAGGTTAGATTTGTAGTGACTGACATGCAGCGGAGTTGGGCTTGGCTGTCTTCCTGACCACTGGTCACAGTCATCTGCACCAGTTTCAACTCCTTCTCCTCACCTGTGTGGTCTTCCTACTTGAGGTTGCCCCAGTTTTCCCTTCCCCTTGAAAGGGTCACATTTTAGATGTGGATTTCTTAAATGTGCAGGTCTATCGTTTCCCCATATGAATCACACCTACTTTAACTTTTGTTAATCTAGCTCTGGCCTTCAGGCTCGACGAGTTCATTTTTGGCTTTTACATTTCATTAGGTTTTGCAGATGGGTAGGAAAAAATAGCAATCACTGGGCAGCACTATTTTTTTTTTTTAGATAACATACAACCTTAGTTCTGGAAGGGATCTTAGAGACCCCTCACGGGAGGAAAG